TGATAAAAAAGATGCACCCTTATTTGGTTTTTTACCATGTGTGTAGATTTCCTTTGTCAATTCTGTATACATTAGCAGTGTAAAGAGAGCTTGTATTCTCACATCAAATGATTGGAACTTACAGTCGAGATACTTCTCATAGCTCTAAGTAAACATTAACATTGAAGATAAATATCTCTTTTAATTAGTGTTAGTGAGTTGGGTTTTTAACAGCCCCTCTTCCCCCACGATCGCTTCTAAAACATATGAATTGGAAATAATAGAAAATCTCTCCTCCACCCCACCCCCCACCCCCCTCCCCCCCAAAAAAAAAAAAAAACCCTAACCCAACATTTATGTGGATGTGTCCATGTGTCGTTGCCCTCAAATGCAAGGTGTGCAGGGAATCGTGAGGAGGTAGCTTTCGGAGATGTTATTGCCTGCAGGATTCTTGAGTTTCGATCCTCAATGATCAAATGAATTGTGATGTTGATGTACCTATGAAGAGAAATTATGAAGAATTTTTGGAGTGAGTTTTTTATTTTCCCTTTGTCATGGTGCAGCTAGCAGTATTAGCAGGAGACTTCCTGCTTTCCAGAGCTTGTGTGGCACTTGCCTCATTGAAGAACACAGAGGTATACATTCAGTTGTTTATTTTTCTTTTATTTCTTGGGTAAACTTACAGATTTAGATTAGCTACCTTTTATGCTGGACTAGCTGTGCAGAAAGATTACATTTTTTTTAATTATGCAAGGATTGTAAAAGACGAAAAAGGATAGGTTGAGGACCACATTTCACTAGATCATGAATGTGCACTTGAACTAGAATATAGAAAGCGCTTATGGGATTTGGAAACTTGAAGGTTAAGAAGAAAAAGGGGGAGAGGAAAAGAATAGGAGAAATCTCAGGCTAGCACATCTTGGCTCTGAGTTATTCATGCTTAAAGGAGAAGATGCATCACACTGTCCATCTAATACACTCCATAGGATATCTTCATTCACTACTTGAGAAAAGCCACAAATACTATATATTAGACTCTTAGCTGGAGACAAAGCAAACTTGGTGACCAAGTAATTTTTGGAAATCACATCTTAAGACGTGGACTTTCATTTGGACTCACTAAGCCTTTGTTCCAGTCTAATAACTGGTTCTATAGTCAACGCTCTTCATGGCAGCTCCCCATCGTTCAAAACCTCATCTAATTAATATGCCTAACATTAAAGCTTAAAAAAATCTGTTCCATTCAAATGGAGTGGATATCTCCAGGCACCCCTAAAAGGAGAGCTGCAGGGTTTGAATCTGATTTAGATGTGAGTGCATATTTATTACTGCTTCAAAACAATACGCCGTTACCATATAATAAGGACTAGAAAATATTAAACTTCCAAATTCTTTTAGTTTACATTTTACAGGTGGTGCATGCATATCATGGTTGGAAAAGGGCTGGAATATGAATGTTTAAACTTCCAACTTTGTTGATTACATAGGGGCTTTTTCCTTGAGAGCTAATCATTATGTCCAAATCTCCCTTTTCTTCAAGTTTCTCTTTCACTGATTTCCTATTGTTCGCATCATGCTTCTTTTGGACCTCCGCCTTCCTATTACAAATATCCGGATTTCAGCCTTAATTGCTCCATCTGATCCCTTCTGTTGCACCATATCATCGACCAGCCTCTGTGAACGGCCATCTAAATGCTGAAAGGTTTTCTGTCCATAATTGTTTTTGTTTTCGTGTGCTTCTGCAGGTTGTGTCACTACTAGCAACTGTTGTAGAGCATCTTGTTACAGGAGAGACCATGCAAATGACTACTACATCTGAACAGCGTTGTAGGTATGCTGTCTGGTGCTGGTGTCATTGTATACTTTGCTTACTAATCTGTTATATGCTACTAGACAAGCCTTGCAAATTGCTATGGGCATAATTGTAGAATTCAGCAGACGAACCAACTAGACGTCTGCCATCTTGTTACCATCATATCATGTCCTGGTGCTACTATTGAGTTAAGTCATGCAATCTTCAAAATATTTGATCAAAAAAATTAATATGACCTGGAAATACAGGAGTTAGTATCACCATTTTGTTTATGAAATAAGTTTTTCTTGTTTTGATCCCTAATAAGTTTTCTTTGTGTATGCAACCTTGACCATCAGATGACCTTGATTCATGATAGATAGGATGGGGATCATGCAATCCTCTTAAGGCATGTTACTAGTGAAGGCTTTAGAATCTTATTTTCAAGAAGTGTCTTGCATTTTATTATTCAAACTACAACGCTTCCATGACCACTAAAAAACTGAACACTTGCATGGCCTCATCATTACCATTTTATGATTCCTCCATTGGTATCATCTATGCCATCTCAATTCAGTTAACAAATTACTACATTGTTTTTGTGGGATCGTTTTCAGGATCACCTATGTATATATGCCTATATACTAGGGAAAAAAAGAATACCCATGTTCATTTCAGAGAGAGACATAGAGACTGAGAGAGAGGGAGGGAGAAATCTTTAAAAAAATTTGGCACACTGGTCAAAAGAATGGGAGAACGGGGAAATGTATTTACCATTTGGAACATTTGTGCTATTTTTTTAGATCTGTCCAGATTTTGGATGAACCTTTTTTTTACAGGAAACAAAACTTTCATTCATTAAAGGATGGCTAACAAAAGAGGTGGACAAGATATCCACCCTATAATGATTCAGAACAGGGGAGTTACATCAAAAGAAAAGCAATATACTCTTATAACACCACTAGGACTTCCCTAGTTACAATTTTGGATGACTTTGGCAAAACAGGTTATAAGTTTTGAGTTAAACTTTCAAAGGATTTGAGTGCCCAAAACTCGAGGAATATCTCAAAATTTTGGAAACCTTTGTCCCCCAACAAAAGGGAAGAAAAGAGAATGAAAGAAATGAATCTTCCCTGAAAATGGAACAAAGTAGAGCATTATGGCTCTACTAACGTTGATAGTAATGTATTTGTAGTTTGACTGCTTACACACATAAATCTTGCATCTTGATGGCTAATTAATTGCTAGCTTATTGACGTTTTAGCTTGCATTTGAGGACTTACCCTTCAGGAGTTATGTGAGAATGATTACTTTTTGTTTCAGCATGGAATACTATTTGCAAAAGACATACTACAAGACTGCGTCATTGATTTCAAACAGCTGCAAGTCAATTGCCCTTCTTGCAGGACAAACAGCAGAAGTTTCAATGCTGGCTTACGAGTATGGCAAGAATCTGGTCCGTATTATACTTCCAGTGCATCTTTTATCTATTATAGTCTTCAAGATTAAACTGTGTATGAAATTCTGGGATTGGTTGCTTCCACATGAACAGACAAATTCAGAGGGATCACTGGGAAGTGAAATTTAGATATTGCCGATGCCAGAGAGAACCATCCTTCTGTCTGTAGCTTTTTACATAGTGTAGGCGGGGATATGAAAAGGTGCTTAAACACACAGGAATATGTAATCTGCCATTTTCAGGCCATTTTCCTTCTTATATGGTAACCTTAATGTGTCATATTAGAAGAGGAATGTTAGGAATGAGGGACCAATAAATACCTGTCTCACCGACGATCCTTGGTCAGATGTCTGGGAATCTCTTACTTATTACTGATTCTTGGTTTTTAAGTCATTGTCACCATTGGCAGACATATTACAGTGGGGAGGACATTGTAATATTGTAGTTTCAGCAATTGCATTTTATTAAAATGACAGCAACTCTCAATTGCACTATGATTTGGCTTTCATAAATGCGATGCACTTGCAACTGCTGTTATTGTGACTGTATTTGTAGCCAACTGAATCCAAAATAGTATCTTCTGTCAAATGGCACCAGATTGTTGTATACATTTCATACCCCGATTTATCTTTTGGACTAATCAATTACCTCTCTCTCTTTCTCTCCTGCAGGGATTAGCATATCAATTAATAGACGACGTTCTTGATTTCATAGGCACATCAGCTTCCCTTGGGAAGGGCTCATTGTCTGACATTCGCCATGTAATCTTTCTATATTTTGTGCATTTGTTTTCTACTGGCTGAAGCATTTGTTGTGGTTTGGGGGATAAATTTTGTCAAGTTCATTGTTTTCTTTAATTCCTTTTTCCGTATACTAGCACTACACACAATGTGCTGTAGTCAAGACTTGGACCCTGCACCACCTTTAGGGGCAGTATTAGATACCACTCAAAACTATTTGCCCGTAGCACTGCTATTAAATAAATATGCTTGGAATAACTGTTACTTTCATTATGATTGGCTTCTATTAAGCAAGATTACTCCCAAAATTTAATATTCTGCTGGGCTGGAGCAGTTGTGGTCTGACCATTCTAATTTCAAATTTCTTGGCAAGAGTATATTCTGAGGCCTGTGTTGAGAACTCAGCAACTTGGTGGAATGCATCCAATAAGTATGCTCATTTTCCATGTCACTGGCATGTGAGGCACCTAGGTAACTCTCTTCAAAAAAATGTAATGAGATACCAATGATGTAAGCTCTAATCAAATAGAATTTAAGTGTTTACTCCTCATTAAGTAATGCTTCTTTTCCGTTTCTTTCCCCCTCATTCCCCCCCCCCCCCCCCTCTCCTCTTCCCCTCCTCTTTCTACTTGGGGTAAAAAGAGAAAAAAAGAGGAAAATAATTGTTGGCACCCTAGTTGTAGGTCCTTATAACACCTTTTAGAAGTAATTAAAGTGGGGATCCACACAGTAGTTGCTGTATGTGTTTAATCAACAATAAGTTATTCCGAAATGTTTTTTTTTTGCCATATATGATGGAGTGTTTTCATGACCTTCACATGTTGGCACCTCATACCATCAACTACAAGTTTTATTTGATTGACGAGATCAAATCTAAGAAGTTTATGCACGAGGTGTTTTTTTTACCATTTTGAGTAAATAAGTGCTGTCTAATTTACAATTCTGTGAGGCACTCATTTCTACAAGTTTGTTTTGGACAATAAAATCATACATCTCCTTGATCCATGAACTGAACATGATTCCTAAACAATGGTTTGTGAGAAACTTGCAATAATTCAAGCAATTTAGAAGTAACATGTACATCTCATCCAACAAAACTGAGAGTTTGACAGATGATCTCCTCAATAGTATCACGTGACCTGAATTTTATAACCCTGCTTCTCAAGGATGGTTAATTTCTTGTTCTCTGTCCATTATGATGTGAAGTGTTGAATCATGTACATGCTGTTTTTTCTTTTACTATATGATAGAATTCTTTTATTTGATTTCACTGTTAGTTTTCTTCATTTCTGGCTGAAATTTATGAGATTCCATTGAAACAAATTATGTTATATATTGGAAAATCTATGGTATGATTAATGGTTACTGTTGGAACACCTGTTTACAGGCCTGGTAAAATGCTATCATGCATTTCCTTCTGTTGGATATATTACAAATTGTAATTTTAACTTGATAGAATAACTTATTTGTTGCCAGGACACATTATGCCGCTTATGTATTTATGTACTAAAGTTTTGATTTTCCATTTATTGGTTGGACTGCTTGTCCATTCTAATTTTCCTATATGTACTAACTGGTTTTATTGGTTGGACTGCTTGTCCATCCTAATTTTCCTATATGTACTAAATGGTTCCGTTTCCTAGCAAAAACATTGAGGTCTACTTTCATTGTTTTTTACCATGCACTTGCACTTGTGTAGTTGTTTAGTGGTTTGCATGGTCTTATTCATGTATATTAATAGCCTACATGAAAAGTCTGTTAAAATGAGGAGGACACCTGTTTTCAGTGATAACATGTAAGCAAATTAAGTTTTTTTTGCAGGGAATTGTAACAGCTCCAATATTGTTTGCCATAGAGGAGTTTCCTGAATTGCGTGGGGTTGTTGATCGGGGATTTGACAACTCTGCAGATGTGGATCTTGTAAGTTTCTACATTGCATTATAAATGACATGTGATTTTTTGTTCAAACCTGTCTGTTTCCCTGGAGTTACTGCTTGCCGAGGGAAGATTATTTTGGTATCAAACTATTTTCTGCACAAGTGGCAATGCCACCTATGAATATGCAGCAAAGAATTACTACAGATGCTGCATGTTAATTTTCTCTGTTGAACATTAATGTTAACCATTTCTGCCCAAGTGCAATGTTGGTTTTTTCTACCCTTCTTCTGCCTTTCATTGTGCGAGAACTAGTAATTCTAAATTACTTTATTGGAAAGGTTGTATGTTCCGTAACACCATTTTGCCTTCTAATTCTAAGTTCAACTCCTAATGACACCTTTTCCCTTTTCGGAAATCCAGACTGACTTGCAAAATTTGTTCTCTCCAACCCCATCATCAAAATCACTATGATCTGTTTTTGGAAAAAATGGAAAACCACCAACATCATTGTCGGTGTTGTCGTCGTCGTCTCCTTTTGTGGGTAGTTACGGATGTGGGTCTGTTCAAGTTCTCTTGTTTCTTTGTTGGCTTTTATTTTTTTATGTTGTTTTTAACCTTGTTAAAGAGCCAACCTCAATTAAAGAAAGAAACTTCAAATCTAGCAATATAACTACTCCAAGCTGGGGCTGTTAATCAAACTGAGCTACTCGAGCTTGGCTTGAGTTCGGCTCTCGTTCAGGCTCGTTTAGAAAACAAGCCCTACAAGCTCGGCTTGTTTATGTGCAAATGCTCGGGCTCGACTTGGGTTCGGTTCGTTCAGGCTCGGCTCGTTTCCTGAACTTGAGCAATTTTTAAAGCTCGATTAAAAAATAAACTTTTCAAGCTCGGTTCGAACTGGACTCGGACTTGTTCGACTAATTGCCTTACTCCAAGCATCATAAATTACAATGAAAATTGAATTATAATCTTTGTAGCTTGAGGAAATAATATTCTCGCTATTAACATGCAATTAAATCAGGTCGAATTTTCTGGGGTTCAAATTACTTTTACCTATCTACTGCTTTTTGAGGAAGCCACTATTGATTCATTATGGTTTAGGCCTTCCAGAGGCTGTTGACACAATTTTAATTTTAATTTGTACGATATAATATCCTGACAGGTGATCTTAATGAATTTCCCAAGACTAATTATGTATCTTCCTTTGATTTATGCATAAAAAATTACCTTGCCGTTTGTTTGATTCAAATTGCATGTGTTGCTTCTTTATTTGACATTGTAGATTTTTCAGTGCAACATTGGCCATGGTACTATTGTCTCCTTAAATTATTCCTTCATCTTTCTTTGCTTTATATACCACCATACTGTAGATTTTGGGATAGTGACAAAAAATTGTGAAAAACAGGCTCTTCACTACCTTGGAAAGAGCCGTGGGATACAGAGAACAAGGGAGCTAGCAACAAAGCATGCCAACCTTGCCTCAGTTGCAATTGATTCTCTGCCCGAGAGCGATGATGAGGATGTTCAAATATCAAGACGGGCTCTCGTACAGCTAACTCAAAGGGTGATTACAAGAACAAAGTAAAGAAAAACAAGGGAAAAAGAAAAAAAAAATTCTGGATTAGTGACAGGAGTATGTGAAAATTTTGTTTTGCCTTTCTCCCTCTGTACCTTTGACGTGGGGGATGGAGTTCTCTAATTCATTTCACCAAACATTCCTTCAATTGTTCCTCGTTTGTCTTCAAATAAGTACTCCAGAAAGGAACAGGCTGCAGCTGCAATTTAAACTTTCATGTAGTGTAAATATTATCATCAGTAATGTTATCTAGCATCTGGCAATCCAATAACGCGATCTCAGTGGAATATGTCTTGATCTAATTAGATCTGTCTCATGATGTTACTAACTGCTTTCAGATGAAGACTTTTCATGGTCCCCATTCAAGATGAGGCCGAGGGAGGCGTTCGATCAACCCGATGGGCTACAAGTTCCTTGCATTAATCAGGCTGCGTTTAGTCTGCAAGGAATGTGACTGGTAATAGCTAGTTTGAAACCCAGCCTCCACAGCTCTATTTGTGGGGTGGTTTGTGTGTCGAGCCCAAAATGCCCAGTCAAAAGGATACTGGGGTCACAAAGTGAGGCATCTACTGAACCAAAACAGGTAATCAAGCATACTAATAAGAGAATGAGGTCCAAAGCAGGCATGAAGGCTAGCTCATGCCAAAAAAAGTGGCTCACTGAATAAAATTTTCGTCATTGTTGAGTTTGGAGAGGGTCAAATGTAGCCCGATCTAAATCGTCATTTTTTACTTTGTTGTGAGTGTCAATATCGATCTAAATTTGATTCTTAAGGTAATTTTCGCAATAAATTGGTGTCAGAACAAGTATCAATTCTAAGTACTATTCACAATTACTATTTATTGAGTACTATTCATGAGTACTATTCAAGGAATAATAATCATTTGCACTAGTTCCTTGGACCTCATCAGATTTTCAAAGATCCCAAATGCTAAATTTGAGGTAAAGAAATTTGATGAAAGGAACAATTTTGGACTTTAGCAAGTCCAAGTTAAAGATGTCCTAATCCAATAGGGACTACATAAAGCACTGGAGGCTAAACCTAAAGATATGGAGGTCAGTGAATGGGAAGATTTCGAGCTGCAAGCATGTAGTACTATTTGGTTATGTTTGATAAAAGATATTATGTATAATGTTGTGCGCGAGAAATTGGCCATTGGTCAGATTTGAAAAATCTCTATATGACGAAGTCTTTTACCAATCGATTGTACCTAAAGAAACAATTATACATGTTTTGTATGAAGGAGGCCAGGTACATCTATGCATGAGCATCTTAACAAGTTTAGTAGAATTATCTCTGAACTACTAAATATGGCTGTTACATTGGAAGATGAAAACAAAGTCTTGATATTGTTGTCCTCGCTACTTGATTCGTACAAGCATCTAGTCATCACATTGCTCTTCGGGAAGGATACTATTGAGTACGATGATGTTACTACATTACTTCTTTCTCATGAATTCAGAAAAGAAGACTCCTTGTAATGACTCTCAGGCGGAGGGTCTATTTGTCAGAGGGAGGATAGAGTATAGAATTATGGAAGCAACAGATCCAGATCTAAATTCAGAGCCAAATCCAAAGATCGAATGAACTCTCAATGTCACCATTGTCACAATAAGGGGCACTGGAATGTAGATTCCGATGCACAAGGCTAAGACCTAAAACAATAAAGATAAGATGTCTGACACTGTTAGTGTTGCTGAAAAAAATTTGGATAATGCCGAAAATATTTTTTAAGTTTCACCTTAAGATATGAGTGCATTAGATGTATGGATTCTTGATTCTAGTTGTTCATATCATATGCGTCACAATAAGGACTGGTTTTTTTTTCCTACAAAGAAGTAAACAGAAACACTATTTTGATGGGCAACAACATAGCCTAAAAAATAGTTAGGGTAGGAACTATCAAAATCAATATACATGATGGAATTGTAAGAACATTAACAGAGGTCAAATATGTTCTAGTTTTGAAGAAGAAACTTATCTCATTGGGTGCACTAGACTCCAATGGCTGCAAGATTGTAGCGCAAGATGAAATTTTGAGAGTTGTTCAAGGTGTTCTAATCGTGATGAAAGGGAGCAAATAGAAAATCTATATTTTCTATCCAATAACATACTGAAAGATGATGCAGCGGTGTCTACATCAGGAGATAATGATTCAATCTCTACTCATGGATGGCATATATGATTGGGCCATATGAGTGAGAGGAGATTGGATGCGTTATGTTAGCGAGGCATGCTTGGTGGCATCAAGATAACCAAGCTGGATTTCTACAAACATTGTGTCTTTGACAAGCAGTGCAACGTAAAGTTTAGCACAACTATCCGGTGCACAAAAGACACTATTGACTGCATCTATTCAGATGTCTAGGGTCCTTTGAAGGTAACCTCAAAAGGGGGATCAAGATATTTTATTACTTTTATTGATGACTTCTCACATAAAGTATGTGTATACTTTTTGAAGACTAAGGATTAAGTATTTGAAATATTCAAGAAGTGAAAGGCCATGGTCGAGAATCAAACTAGCAAGAAGATCAAGCGGTTGAGAACTGACAATGGTGGTGAGTACATGTACCAATCATTCTTGAAGTTTTGTGAAGATGAAATTATTACAATGCACTTCTCAGTAAAGGGAACGCCACAACAGAATAGAGTTGCAAAATGTATGAACCAAACCCTATTAGAGAAAGCATGGTGTATACTATCCAATGTCGGATTATGAAGGAAGTTTTAGGCTGAGGCTATCAATACAACATGTTTTCTTGTCAATCGATCACTATCAACAACTATAAAGTGTAAAACTGCTTACAAAGTATGGTTAGGCTAGCAAGGTGATTATAGTTCTCTTAGAGACTTTGGGTGTCCAACTTATTTTCATGTCAAAAAAGTAAGATTAACCCAAAAGCTATGAATGAAATATTTCTTGGTTATGCATCTGGAGTCAAAGGGATAAGATTATGGTGCCCTGAATTGCACAAATTTATGATCAGTAGGGATGTGACATTTGATGAGTTTGTTATCCTAACTTCAGAAAGTAAAAGTATAGAGCAATAATCTTTAGCAACTGGGGAGGACTAGAAGGACAATCAAAGAGCCTGTTTGTTATGGTTTTGAAGATTACCATGGTGGGTGATGAGCCAGCTACATTCCAAGAGGCAATGAACAATAGTAATTACAAGGAATGGAAAGTCGCCATGAATAAGGAGATGAATTCTCTTCAAAAGAATCATACTTGGGAGCTCGTCAAATTGGCAAAGGGAAAGCAAACAATTGGGTGCAAATAGTTGTTTGCAAAGGAAAATTTATCCAAGAGTAAATGATATTCGATACAAAGCAAGGTTGATAGTCAAGGGTTGTGTGCAAAAAGAAAGGGGTGGATTACAATGAGGTAATTTCACCGTGGTAAAGCACACTTGAATTCGTGTGTTATTGTCCATCATAGCTTAGTTTGATCTTGAGTTAGAACAGTTTGATGTGAAGGTTGCATTTCTCCATGAAGATTTAGAGGAGAAAATCTTCATGAATCAGCCAAAATGTTTCAAGATTGCTGGTAAAGAATCTTATGTGTGTAAACTAAGAAAGTAATTGTACCGACTGAAGCAATCACAAAGACAGTGGTACAAGAGGTTTAACACATTCATGTTGAAGTAGAGCTACACCAGAAGTGAGTATGACTATTGTGTATACTTTAAGAAGCTATCAGATGGTTCATTTTTCTACTTGTTTTTGTATGTTGACGACATGCTCATTGTTGCTAAGAGCATGATGAAATCAACAAGTTGAAATCTCAACTCAGTGAAGAGTTTGAGATGAAGGACTTTAGTGTAGCTGAGAAGATTCTTGGCATGAAAATTCTGAGAGACATGAATACGGGTAGATTGTTCTTGTCACAATAGAAGTACTTGGAGAAGGTTCTCTCTCAGTTTGGTATGGAGAACTCAAAGCCTATAAGTACACCTTTAGCTGCCCACATCAGACTCTCATCAACTATGTCTCCAAGTAATAGGGAGAAGTGGGAGTATATGCTCATGTTCTATATACAAGTGAAAGTTGAAAGCCTAATGTATGCTATGGTATTCATTCGTCCACATATTTTACATACAGTTAGTGTGGTAAGTAGGTACATGGTAGATCCTGGCAAGGAACATTGTTAGGTTGTGAAATGGTTACTATCGTATCTCCGTGACACTCTAAATGTAGGATTGGTGTATCAGTAGAACAATAGTTCAAAGTCTCATATCAGAGGTTATGTGGATTCTGATTTTGCTGGTACTCTAGATAAGTGAAGGTATAAAATAGGCTATGTTTTCATAATAGCTTGTGGTTAGAGGTTTATCCTGCAACCAACAATAGCTTTGTTGACCACAGAGACAGAGTATATGATAGTGACTGAGGCTGTCAAGGAGGCTTTATAGCTATGGGGTTTGATTGGTGACTTGGGTATATCGCAAAAAGCATGTGACTGATAGTCAGAGCGTCATTCATTTGGCGAAACACCAAGTTTATCATGAAATGATCAAGTATATTGATGTTCAATTTCATTTTGTTTATGGGATTATCGATGATAGAGATATTTCTCTATAGAAGATTGGTACTAAAAATAATCTAGCTAATATGTTGACTAAGGTGGTTCCAGCAATCAAGTTCGAGCATTACTTGGATTTACTCAACATTCTACAAGTTTAAACAGTGCTAGGCACATCAGAGACGATCGAAAAAGAGTTTTATAGATGGCTTGAACAACTTCTGGCCGTGATGGAGATTTGTGGACTTTTTTGTGGCTAGAAACTTTGGAATGGTTAGCCCTTATCCTTTTGGTATAAAAGTCAAGACTTGGTGGTTGCTGCACATGGGATAAAAGACAACAAGACATGCTGAGCTTGTTCTTTGAGCAGATTTGCAATGCATGTGCAGATATGTTGTATTGTCTGCAACCTCACTAATTTCCTTATAAAAGAGGATGGCTTAAGCATTGTTCAAGCATCAAAAGCTTGAGGGAGTTCAAGCAATAAGAATTTATTTGATTGATATTTTAGTAACAATCTAAGTGTTATCAGATCTATAAAAGATACATATAAAATATTATAGTGATTCTCTTATTTAGTTATGAGTTTATTTGATCATTAATTTTTTATAAATTTCAATTGTATAAATATGAGAATGAGGTTGATGAATGTGCTAGACTTGCAAGAGGGGACATTTGCTCTCTGTGGTGAAATTTGGTTGTTTATGTTTTGATTGTTTTGAATTTTGCTTTGTCAAATTTTAGTGGTGGAATTTGGTTTTT